TCAGGGATCATGAATCTTTAGAACAAGCCAATTACTGTGTTGGCATGTTGGTAGATCCTGAATAACCACATACTTTGTATCTCCTGAAGCTACCAGAACCCCTCTCCTCCCCCCCATTAAAAAAGGATCCTACAGTGCCAGGAAAGCTGAAGGGGTTAAAAACCCCTTCAACCACTTAACCGAATCCAGCACCGATGTCCCTCGGTGCTGGGTCAGGCTCCGCCCATGCTCCTCCCCAGCTAGAGAGACCTAATGCGTGGAAGTTGCCACAAGTGCATTAGACCTCCCCATAGGAAAGCATTATTCAATGCTTACCTATAGGGAAAAAAAAATAAAATAAAAAAAAATAAAAAAAAAATAAATAAAAGCGCTGGAGGTTCGGGAGGACGTCCAGTGACAGAGACTAAAAGTCAGTTTGGATTCCGGAAACCCTTTAGTGGCAGTCTAAGACAGCCACAGAGGGCAGCAGAGCTACAACGTAGACAATGCAGTACTCAGGTATACCCTCCCGAGGATGGGTTACTACTGCCTGTGGTCACCCCTTCCATGTTGTTCCCAGCCCTACAATGATTACAGCGGCTAGCCAGTGATTAGTTGCTTGCGGGGGGGGGGGCCCAAACACTAGTGGAGACTTCGTGAAGGGTAAAAGAACGCTATTGCAGGAGGTCTCCATTTACAGCAATACAAAACATAAGCCCACCCCGGCGTCGCTGTGTATCTCCTGAACACAGGAAGCCAAACATAAAAACCCTAAAAATACACACCATACAGTAGCACACCCCTAAATAGCTCCTGGTCCCCGCTGTGACCCCTGCAAATTATGGAGCTATTGGATGTCCAGAGCTGGAGAAATAGTCATACAAAGTCTGGGCTTGAGGCTCTGAACATACTCGAAAATAGCTCCACTGAATGATTGTTTTGGCCTGGTGATTCAAATTTCCCGCCTAAACCAATTGGCGCTCGGGGTGCAAGGGCACAAAACCAGTTTGAATGGTAGCACTTCTATTGGCTGGCATGGACTTTCAGGCGGCCAGCAGGACTCTGCGGCGGTAATCGGTGATGGCATTCTGTCACAAGCACCAAGTGCAATAGGGACACAGCACTCAGACTACTTAAATTAGCTGAAGTGGTCCAGTGTCCCTTTAAGCATGAAAGTCAACTCAATATGAAGGGTTGCTTTCACTGGGGCAGTCTAACATACATTAGCATTTACAAAGTGCCCACCAACATTTTCAGAAGCACATCAGCTCTACTTTAAATCTGGGCTGATACAGTGTTCTGTGTACTGCCAGGCAGACAGGTTGTGGATTACATCAGTAATAAGTCACTGAACATTTCATAGTTTGCCAGGTTTCACAATATAAAATCACCACATGCTGCTTTTTATTTGCCTGTATAACATCAGCAGAGGACTACACTGGCACAGTAGCAGATTAAAAAGTCCATTCCAAACATGGGCAGGAAGAGAGTTTACCCAGAAACAGCATGTTGACCATATGCTTACATTTCACATTACATTTAACTTTTTTTTTTAAACCACATAGGGTACTTTTTCTTTGAATGTCTAGCACATACAAGCCTGTTCTTACACATCTCATACAAATATATTACAAGGTATCACTGCAAGCTGGCAAGACTGAGTGATTGTGCAGGAACTGAACTCTATTTTGATATTTGACAAATCTTGAGAGGTCTCCCAAGCACCATAATCACTGTGGTTACAGCACCAGAAGTGCCCTGCCTCCCATACTGTAAAGAGTCAGACAGTTTTACCAACTACCTGGGGTCAGCCAGCTGCCACTCCCTGTCTGAGCTTCAAGGTGGAGACCGACTTACAGGAAGGAGAAAGGAGGGGGACTGGTAGCTGACAAATTCCTCCCCTTTACAATGATTGTGTGCTAGATAACATCTGGCACCACACTGTAGTCGTTCTGGTGATTTGAGTATTCCTTTATAGTGTAAAAAAACAAAAACACAAACCAACCCAGACAAGCATAGTTTTTATCCACCCCACCCCCCTCATGGTGTAACTTCCTGAGTGACAGTTCCCGTTTAACAGATGATGTGCAATCTTTCTTATCTAGTGTGCACAGTCTTTTAGTAAGTACTGTTGGCACACATACCACTGCACCAGTGTTTCTAGTGAATGTGACACACACCTAAGGTTGTCAGGACAATGTAAATAAGTTTTTACATTCCCTATCCCTTTGCAAGCTTCTCTCTCCATCCATTACCCCACAAGCAGGGCCGTCTTTAACACGGGGCAGCTGCCCCGGGCCCTGTCCGTGCTCGGGGGGGGGGGGCCCCCCAAGACGGCTGCTCCGTTTGCCCTCTGCCTGCAAACTATGGGAGCCCATCGGGTGGCCCATGCACTTAGGGCCACCCGGTGGCCCTATTTCAGCAGGGGCCCGGTCAGGCGCTGTGGCGCTTTAACAGCGCGACCTGGCCCTTGCTTTTCGGCAGCACTGGGAGGAAGTGACAGCCGTGCGTCACTTCCTCCCACTGAAACAGGAGCCGCGCGGGAGGAAGGCGGACCAGCTGTTCCGGAGGGGGGAGAGCTTAACTCCCAGCCACCTAAGCCAGCCCACTGGACCCCAGGGAAGCCACCCTCCAGGAAAAGGAAAGAAACTGGAGGGTGGTTATCAAATTTTGCATGAGAGTGTGTGTGTGTGTGTGTGTGTGTGTGTGTTTGAGTATGTCTGTCAGTGTATCTGTATGTCTGTGTGTATGTTTTCCAGAATGTCTGTCAGTGTCCGTGTGGTTCTGTATGTCTGTTTGTCAATATGTCTGTCAGTGTCTGCGCGTATGTGTGTTTTAGTATGTCTGTGTATATGTGCCAGTATATGTGTAAGTCTGTCTGTCAGTGCCTGTGTGGTTCAGTATGGCTGTCTGTGAGTGTCAAAATGTCTGTATGTGTGTACGTCTGTCAGTGTGTGTTTCAGTATGTATGTCTGTATGTGTGAATCTGTCAGTGTCCGTGTGTATGTGTGTTTCAGTATGCTGTCTGTGTGTGTCTCTGTATCTGTATGTTGTCCGTTTGTGTGTATCTGTCAGTGTTTGTATCTGTATATCTGCATGTGTGTCAGGTTGTGTATCTATGTGTGTCAGTGTGTGTGTCGGTGTATCTATATGTAGTCAGGGTGTGTGCGCCTTTGTATCTGCATGTATGTCAGTGTTTGTATCTGTATCTATATCTATATGTAGTCTGTGTGTATTTGTATGTTCTTGTGTGTATCTATATGCGGTCAGTGTGTATCTGCATGTGTATCTATATGTAGTCAGAGGGCCCAAGTAAATGCTTGCCTAGGGTCCAATCAAAATTAAAGACGGCTCTGCCCACAAGTTAAAACCAGATGGAATTTACACAGCAAAAAGTTGGAAAGTGTCCACCGCAGGCCCCAGACAAATTGGGAAACTAATGGTAGTGACTGGCTTCCTGGAAATATCACAACTCAATGAGTCAGTAGCCAGAGAAGTTTTAAAAAACAGTTTAGAGAAGTCCCATCCTGATATCAATCCACATAATTACAGCTTCAGACTCAACCCCCTATTAATTGGTACCGATTATATAACAGTTGCATTACAAACATCAAAATAATGCAAAAATATTTGGGCTTTGCCATTTTAAGCTGGAGCTGCATGGCAGATATGAATATTTATAAAAAACGCAAAAGAAAGCATTTTTCACATTGCAACATTACAAGATAGAATGATTCATGCTAAAGAGGAAACCCCATTTAGTAATATAAAACCCACAGGAAGAAGTTTAGAAGTTCACCTGACACAAAAATAGGCAGCACTTTAGTCCCTGAAGTTCTGCCTAATTTTGAATTGCTACATGTGATTCTAGCACGGGGCATCACTTTCTACACTAGGAGCTCAAGCTCTTTGCATAAACACACACCATAACTACTACAGCCCACTTTAGTGGTTATGACTAAGCAATTACATTGTTCAAGGTTTTACAAACTAACCTGGGTGCCCATCATATCCTGCCATGGAGCCAGTAGCTCCTGGCAAGACGTTTACATTCACTCGACTGAGTCAAGCCATACAGGGCCTGCTTGCTGGTTGAGTGTCAGCTGATCACTCTGAATGAGTGCTGCCCTTCCACGTCAGGCTCAGCGCAGGAATGTCTAACAGCAGATACCTGGCATGCCCTAGCCAAGTTGTCAAAATAAAGAATGGTTTTTCTACTACTTAAACTAGGAGGCTAGAACCACTAGTAGTAGCTGTACTTGTTTTGATGCCTGGAGTGTTCATTCGGAGGGGAGGGGGAAGAAGCAAGATTAGCAAAATGAAATTCCCATATCACTACATGACTCACCTGTGTAACCTGACCTCTAAGTAGTTTGTCATATGACATGCTTTGGATACCTGCTAAGTATTACTCTGCACAAATAGGCGTTATGCTTGTTTGAGAATGAAAAGAGAAAATCTTAAGGGTCATTTCAGTTTCTCTAAGCAAATATCCATAAAGCTATGCTCTATATAGTGTTAGTCTATGTAATAACTAGGCTTTGGCAGCATACGTTACCCATAATACACATTGTCATTAGTTGGCCCAAAAACGAGAGAGCGAGAGATTTTTTTTGTGGGGGGCCCAATATATATAATATATATCTCCCAAGAGCGACAATACAAATTCAGAGGATTGATGAAAGACACCCTAAAAACAAACCATTCTGCTGTTACGCAAGAATAACAAGAAAGAGTTAAAGTCATGTGGCATGTTCTATTATCCAAGGCCAGGCAGCTGTTCCCTGCAAGTTTGATTACCTGGTCTGTGGGGGGGGGGAGATGGGAATATGTTTATCTAAAGCTGTATAACTGTATTTTAACTTTCTGATATCACACTGGAAATGCAGTGTCCTAGGAGGATGGAAAAAACAAACCACAAAATAAGTTCCTAGGTTATTTTACTAGGCACCCGCTTATAAAATATTCAACAGGTCCAACCCAGTTACCCACAGTAGCTTTAGTGAATCAGCACTACTTTTCCCGAATGCAAAGCGGACATATGATACTTGGTATAGATGTAAGAGTTTTCCTGAAATACATGGAATGCTGACATTTTAAAGTCATCGAGGCAGCTTTCTTCCATAGTAGAGCGAGTCAACAAGCCCCTTGTACACAGTTTGGGACCCTGGAGAGTGGGAGGGGGGGGGAGAGAGAGAGAGATGTGGTTTTAAAAGGCTGCTCTAGAGTCAGAAGATACCATCCTGAACCAGGCTCAGCGTGTTTACACTCAGCTAGGGCGTGTGCTGCCACACTGTACAGGAAGGAGAGGGTTAATCGGCCAGACAGAACCGCTGCTGATTATAGCTTTTGGGAACATTAAAATACAGCCATAAAGCTCATCCCAGACTGCAACGTGGACAAAGCTCGGAGCTAGGGAAGGGGAGAGGGGAGAAAAGAACCCTTTAGAACCCTGGGAGATACTCACCCAGAATATGAAGTTAAAGATGAACATTAAGTATTTCACACATTTCATGCCTCCTTCCACCGCCATCCTGCTGAGCTGGCTCTGGAGTAGGGGGAGAGAGAGAAGCAGCGGTGAGACTATAACCACATACCCCACGAACAGACAGCTAATCTACCAGCCCACACCCAGTATGTATACGGGGAGCAGGCCACACACCTACCTCTTACTGCTCCTAGTGAAGCCTTCTCCTCAATCTGTTGCTTCTCCGGGCGGTGCTGATCGCAGACTGAGCTCTCACTAAATGGTGACTGTGAGCACACCTCCCCCCCCTCCCTAAAAAGCTAAACTTCCTGCCCCCGCAGATTGCGGCCGGCCTGCAGCTGTCATGTGATGCTGACATCAATGCACTGTGCCCGAGAAAGTATTTACCGAGGGAGGTATGATATGATGCTGGGAACCCCCCCGCCCCCGCCATGGCAATGACACACAACTGGGTGTATAGTAACTGTGTGAGCATTGCTCGTGGACACCAGGAAACATGCGGTCACATACATTAACTTAGCTATGGTGTATCGCTTTCTAATTGATAGCTGTCAGTGTATCGATCTGAAATTTGTTTTCAATCAGTAAGTAATTAGTATCACTTTAAATGCCACTTGCTGGTGTGTTAAATCAAGTGATTGAGCTTTAATAAACTCCTGCAGGGCCCTCATCAACAACCTATTGTTCTTGTAACATTGTGCAATTGTCTCATTGTTACATTTTACCCTTTTTATAATATTGTAATATTGTGTAATAGGTTGGCGCGGTATAAAAGACAATAATAATAATAATTGTCTGATTACTGTCCGGTACACCATGTTCTTTACCTTTTTTATTCTGTACACATTTAAGTTCTTACACCCTTGATGTAACATGTCTTCACATTTTAACTTTCTGTGGAAAGTCTATGTCTATGTGAATCATCAGCCAATGTGTCTTAAAAGTATGGTTAACCTTCAGTTTTACCTATAGTTCTCTTGCAGAAAATCAATACTCATACACATCTAACCATCTAGGCCAGGGATAGGCAACCTTCGGCACTCCAGATGTTGTGGACTACATCCCCCATAATGCTCTTACACCCATAATGCTGGCAAAGCATCATGGAAGGTGTATTCCAAAACATCTGGAGTGTTGAAGGTTGCCTATGCCTGATCTAGGCCATTGATCAGAAAGCTATGGCACTCGAGGTGCCTTTGCATGGCATTCAAGGCTGCAAGAGCCAGAAAGGGTCTGGCCTATCAGGAGTCCCAGTAAAACTCTAGTGAAAACAAAGTGGTAATGGTGGTGAGGGCAATCCTCAATTTACACATTGCGGCACTTAGAGGAAGTGATCTCAGACCACTTCCTCCCAGCAGTTGTGAATGGGAATCCACAATGGAAAAGAGCATTCCGCAGCAGCTATTGCAGCTCTGGCCCTTGAGCTACCCCTGGCCAACCTCGTCTACACTGGACCCCAGGAAAGTCATTCATACTACTAGATATACAGAGAGCTGCAGAAGAAGCCTCCCCCTCAAACAAATAATACAAACAGTCCACATACAAACACAGTCCCCGTAAACACAACACCACTGACCATCCACATACACACACACAACCCACAGACATCCTCATATGCAATACTACAAACAGCCCCACACATACACACACCACCAAACACCCTATATGACATATCATCCACACACACACAATTCCACAGGCAGCCCCACACATACACACACCACCAAACACACTATGTGACATATCCACACACAGAACTACACAAGCAGCCCCCACATACAGTCCACATTCATAGGTACCATACACAATACCACAGCCCAAATATGCACAAATACATCACTAGAAAGGAACTGCAGCGCCCATAAATAACACAAGCAGAATATGGCAACATACACACCTCATTTTAAAAACAATTAGGACCAGCATGCCAAGGGACTTCTTGTTTTGCCACAGTACTTTCTCATTGGTGATTACTCCACCTTTACAACTTGCACTATGTTTCCATAACACTTTGATATTTATCTTATATCTGTCTGAAGAAGTAGCAGAAACATCTCAGATGGACAGGTTTAATAGTCATTGGGGTTTACTCATCAAATACCAAATTGTAGTGAATTGAAAAACAAATGTCAAAATGTTGGATAAAATAGGTAATCTTGGTGGGAAAAATCAGCTATGGTTACTGTTTGGCTGCTTCATCCTATATCTCGCAATACAGTTTTCATTTTAATTTCAATAACTTTGCAATACAGTTTTCGATTGAGAAAATAAACCACACTCATTTTCTCAAATGCCAGCAAATTTACGAGATCGTGTCCTGCTATCCCAGGTTAGTTCCCTGGTCTCTTGCCTCTGTGGACACCAGGGAAATTTCCCCAATCAGCATAGTTTAGTTCAGGGTTGTCAAACTCACTTGTTCTGGAAGGCCAAATTGTCTGCTGAAATAGACAAGAAAGAAAAACTTCACGTTTTCATACATGTAATTTATTACTTTGTTCATGAATAAAAAAGGTGTATTTGTGTGTAGTGTTACACCAGTAATTATATATGATTGCAAACATACCACTGGCATACATACTGCGGTCGCAGGGGTGACCAGGCCCGGCCCTCCAGGGGGCCCGGCAGTCCTGCGACCCAAGGAAGTGCACCAGTGCGGCCACGGCCGCATTTTGCCAACCTCTTCTCCTGGGGAGCCCAGGAACTGGCCACCTCAGGGCCCCCCGAGGCTGGCAGTGGCCTCACCTTGTGGGCACACATGTGAGGGAGCATTCTCCCCTGAGCTCTCTGCCCAGCTCCCTCACGCACACTCCGGCTCCGGCATCAGTAAGTGGTGCTGAACAGGAGGATCAGTGCTCCCTCGCCACCTGCAGTGATTGGCAGCCGAGCAGCCCCACTGGACCCCAGGGAAAACTGGAATCCCCTCAGCACTCCCAAAGGTAGGGAGGATGGGGGATTACATTTTTTTTTTTTTAAATGTGAGTGTGTATGTGTGTTAGTGTATGTGTGTGTCAGTGAGTGTGTTACTGTGTGTGTGTCAATGAGTGTGTTAGTTGTGTGTTTGTTAGTTTGTGTGTGTCTGCTAGTGAGTGTCAGTGAGTGTGTTAGTTTTTGTGTGTCAGTGTGTGTTACTCTGTGTGTGTGTCTGTTATTGAATGTGTGTGTCTACTAGTGAGTGTGTTAGTTTTTGTGTGTCAGTGAGTGTGTGTGTGTCAGTGAGTGTGTTACTGTGTGTGTCTGTTATTGAGTGTGTGTCTGTTAGTGAGTCTGTTTGGTGTCTGTTAGTGTGTGTTTGTCAGTGAGAGTGAATGTTTTGTAAGTGAGTGTGTATGTGTGTCTGTCAGTAAATGTGTGTGTTTGTTAGCTAGTGTGTATGTGTCTGTTCGTGAGAGTGTGTGTGTCTGTTAATGAGTGTGTTTGTTAGTGAGAGTGTATATGTGTTTGTCAGTGAGTGTGTATGTGGGTGTGTCACTATGAGTGTGTGTCTGTATGTGGGTCTGTATGGGTATCTGTTTGTCTGTATGTGTATCTGAATGTTTGTCATTAAAGGACCACTATAGTGACAGGAGAACAAACTCGTTTTCCTGGCACTATATAGTCCTTAGGTTCCCCCCACCCTTGTGGCCCCCCTCCTGCTGGGCTGATGGGGTTAAAACCCCTTCAGCACTTACCTTTCTCCAGCATCGGGCTCCCTTATCTCTCCGCCCCGATCCACCTCTCAGCTCCGAATGCGCATTCAAGCTACCCATAGGAAAGCATTACTCAATGCTTTCCTATGGACGTCCAGCGTCTTCTCACTGTGATTTTTATAGTGAGAATAGCGGAAGCGCCTTTAGCAGCTGTCAGTGAGACAGCTACTAGAGGCTGGATTAACCCTCAGTGAAACATAGCAGTTTATTTGAAACTGCTATGTTTTCAGCTGCAGGGTTAAAACTAGAGGGACCTGGCACCCAGACCACTTAATTGAGCTGAAGTGGTCTGGGTGCCTATTGTGGTCCTTTAAGTGTATGTGTATCTGCATGCACTGGCATACATACTGCGGTCAAACGGGTCGCAGCCCTGTGTTGCGGCCCCGGCCTGCGCAGTGAAACTGCAATGTTTACATTGCAGCGCTAAGCCTCTAGTGGCTCTATCAGACAGCCACTAGAGGTGATTTCTTCTGAGGAGGCAAACAGCGGGCACAGTCCTGAGGGACATCATTGTTGGGATAGGGTAAGTAAATAAAGGGCTTTTAATCATTTATTGGCCACGAGGGAGGGGGGATGCAGAGGGAACTACAGTGTTAGGAATACAGGTTTTTATTTCTAACACTATAGTATCCCTTTAACCCCTTAAGGACCAAACTTCTGGAATAAAAAGGAATCATGACATGTCACACATGTCATGTGTCCTTAAGGGGTTAAACTTGTACCCTCTGCATTCAAATCTGGAATCCACAGCAATATAGCTACACCGTGCTGTATAATCAACTTAGGGCACTGTCACAAACTTTGTAGTTGGAGGTGTTATTTCTCTCTTGGTACTGCAAAAGACTTGGGGCTACTAATAAAAATTCCAAAATGAGTCTCAGGTATTTTAAGAACCCTATTTGAAGCCCCAGCCCTTGTTAGTCCCCCTATCATTGTGTCTGTAACAATGAAGCAACATTAGCTTTAGCAACATTTGGCCACATGATATTTACAAGTGAATATATTTTATTCACTATACAAGGGATTTGCAAGGGAGTAGCACTATTTAGATCAATACAGCTGAACTGGAAGCATACTGAAACGATTTTCCAAATATTTTATTTTTAGACAAAGTGATATGTCATTAACATACAGAAAATTTTCTTTGTGTAATGTAATACGTGTTTTTGTTTTTTTGGGGGGAAAAAATAATTTTGAAGTAAGATTATTATTCATATAAAAAAGAAAAGAAAAACGTTTGTGATAAAGTTTAGGTAAAACTATAACAAGTGCGAGTGAAGAAAGAGAGAAGAAAGGGTAGGGAAAAGTGCATGCCATCTGCAAGCTTGGAAGAAAATATATAAGCCATGTCTACTTAGAGATTTGACGAGATGAGAATAGGGAGGCTGGGGTTCTCCAATGTGAACTATACAAGGATCCCAAGTGTACCGAGATTTGTCTTGAGAATTTTGAAGGCGCGCTGTAGATAAGCCATATCTAGTATTGGATGTGAAAAAATGAAGTGCTCATGTCATTGTACAGAACACTGGTTCTTATATGCCGTCACATTCTATGTTTATATGGTTTAATTACTGTAGCAATTAAAAATCTTGCAGACTTACAAACACTATAGCGATGATACAACTGAGGAGAGCTACTTTTATGAAGAGGTTTAGCAGTAGTATAAAGGAGAAGGAGATAAGGTAAACTACTTATTACCATTAAGTTGATAGGCAGAGGCAAGTCTACCATGTGTAAAACTGATAAAATATGT